GCAGAAGGCCTTGTGAAAAGTGACATTATTTTAGCGGCATCTGCTCTCTTGTTAAGTATTGCTGAGAACAAATTTAGGTGGGCATTAAAGGTACACTCCAGATAAAAGGGAAAATGGAATACTGTGAACATAGCCAGTCCATCCCATTAGGGATGATTTACTAAAGGTAAATAGACAGAGAACTTTGCAGGTACAGTTGCTCCAGAGCTTAATAAATGAGGGGGAGCTCTGCTGACTCTGCATGCAATTGGGTATTCTTTGTGAGGGTCCATACACACTGGGCTTACATGCTGCTTCTACAGGAGTTTTTGTTTTTTGTCTGTAGAAGCACCTCAATGTTATCCTATGTGTCTATGCACATTAGGACTTTTTGGAGGCATATTTTACACTCAGCGTTTAGAGCCATATGAAAACCATTTGGGTTTGCGTTTTTGAGAAGTTTTCTGGCACAAAAAAAAAATCGCTAAATGCCTGTACCAAAACACTCTATATCAGGGGTTAAAATTTCGAGTCCAGACCTACTAGCCGGTCACAAAACTTACTCTCCACCAGTTGCCCCACCCAACCTTGCCCAGGTCTGCCCCCAATCACGCCCCCTTAAAGCTTATGAAATTACATTTTACTTTAGAATAAATAGTCTAAAATATAAAACTGTACACAGTAATGTATATCCCAGCTCCCCTGTACTCCATTATAGTGATATGACATGTATACAGTAATGTATATCCCAGCTCCCCTGTACTCCATTATAGTGATATGACATGTATACAGTATGTATATCCCAGCTCCCCTGTACTCCATTATAGTGATATGACATGTATACAGTTTGTATATCCCAGCTCCCCTGTACTCCATTATAGTGATATGAGATGTATACAGTAATGTATATCCCAGCTCTCCTGTACGCCATTATAGTGATATCACATGTATACAGTATGTATATCCCAGCTCCCCCGTACGCTCCCCTGTACTCCATTATAGCGATATGACATGTATACAGTAATGTATATCCCAGCTCCCCTGTACTCCATTATAGTGATATGACATGTATACAGTATGTATATCCCAGCTCCCCTGTACTCCATTATAGTGATATGATATGTATACAGTATGTATATCCCAGCTCCCCTGTACTCCATTATAGTGATATGACATGTATACAGTAATGTATATCCCTGCTCTCCTGTACGCCATTATAGTGATATGACACGTATACAGTAATGTATATCCCAGCTCCCCTGTACTCCATTATAGTGATATCACATGTATACAGTATGTATATCCCAGCTCCCCCGTACGCTCCCCTGTACTCCATTATAGCGATATGACATGTATACAGTAATGTATATCCCAGCTCCCCTGTACTCCATTGTAGTGATATGACATGTATACAGTATGTATATCCCAGCTCCCCTGTACTCCATTATAGTGATATGACATGTATACAGTAATATATATCCCAGCTCCCCTGTACTCCATTATAGTGATATGACATGTATACAGTATGTATATCCCAGCTCCCCTGTACTCCATTATAGTGATATGACATGTATACAGTAATGTATATCCCAGCTCCCCTGTACTCCATTATAGTGATATGACATGTATACAGTAATGTATATCCCAGCTCCCTGTACTCCATTATAGCGATATGACGTGTATACAGTAATGATTACTGTATACATGTCCTATCACTATAATGGAGTACAGGGGAGCTGAGATATACAATTACTCAGTAATGTATGTCCCAGCTCCCCTGTACTCCATTATTGTGATAGGACATGTTGTATACAGTACTTACTGTCCACCCGAGTCCCCCGTGGCGGTGGAGAGGGTATCTCCTCTCAGTGGAGGAGAGCGGACCTCTCCTGCACCTGTCCCCTCGGCGGTGGTGCCACAGAAGCCGGAAGTTGTAAACCGGAACTCTGCTTCACAATGAGGCTTGGAGTGCAGGTGCAGTCGCTCCATGCTTCATCTGTGCTCACCGCTCGCCACAGAGGAATTTCTCCTCGCATTGGGCGAGCGGCTTTTTTCAAGCCCTGCTCTATATGATCATTTTTCACTGCCAAGGGAACAGGCGTTTAAGCCCAGTGTGCATAGACCCTAAAGTGAAGCTGATCTCTCAGTTTTCAGTCTTCAGTCTGCAGAGAGCTGATGACTATCAGTCACCAGCTCTCTGCTCTGCCCCTCCAGCACTCTCTAGTGCGCCGAGCTGTGGAGGGGGCACATACGGCTGGCTCAGGCTCTCGGCATCATGCTGAGATCCTGAGCCAGCTGCTAGTCAGGCTTCTGTGTGGATCCCGGCCATATGGGCAGTGGGCTTTAGCAGAAAAACAAACAGAATGAGCTGGACTAATTTTGATCCATAGGAGAAATTGGGCCAAAATAGCTGTGGCCATACTTTTTTTTTTTTTTTTTTTTTTTTTTTTTTTTTTTTTTTTTTTTTTTAAAAATGCGTGTGATTGCCATAATGCCAAACACTTCAAATCACATTCTAGAAGGAGCAGTTTGTATTTGGATGTACTTTAATGGCAGGTGGGGGCAGTACTTTTGAGTGTCTTGTACATTTACAATTTTTCTAACATGGTACTAGACTTTGTTACTCTCTGCTTGATGTGCCTGGCTGTGATATAATAAAGAGACATTACTGTAGACACTGAAAATGCCAGAGGCAAATATCATAAAAATGTATTTCATTTAAATAGTGACAGATCATTTCCTCTCTGGAGACAAATGCTCTTACTATTGTCTGTTTTTGTGAGATGGGTAATATGTATGTGCCAACACTTTAAAATTGGGAAAGTAAATCTTTACACTTTTATACAGGCTTGTTCAATAAAACAGATCAATGGGGACTTTTCAGCATTCACAGCAACCCAACATAATACATTCCAAATTTTACTTGAGCTGTATTTGGTTGCTATGGAGTACTACACTTTGGGGTTGATTTACTAAAATGGGAGAGTGCAAACTCTGGTGCAGGCCTGCATAGAAACCAATCAACTTCCTGTTTTTTTTTTTTTTTTTGTCAAAGCTGAAGTTAGAAGTGGATTGGCTACCATGCACAGTATGGAGTACTAAAAGCTGTTTTTTGCTACAGAAGAAAGATAACAGAATTATAATGTTGTAATATGCACTAGCGTGGATTGGAATTTGGGGGTAAATTTGGGTAATGCCTGAACATTAAAGTGACCCTGTTATCAAATCCATGGATGTAAAACAAAGACGACCTGTATAAAAATCAACAAAGGATATTTGCCTTTCTGGCATCCTATGTCTTAGAGCTCTGCTGCGTTGCAGTTCTCTGCTTCTGCTGTCCAACACTTCTGGATACCAGAGTCAGATCGCTGGTCCCCCACTGATCTATAGTTCCTCCTGCTGGCTCCCATGTCATGTAGTAATGTAGCAGCCAGTGAGAAGAATCACCATGAGCAACTAAGGACCAGATATCCAACACTCCCAGAAGTATTGGGTAGAGGCAGTTGTATTGGTGGACTTACAGTCTAATAGACTGTGCACTTTGGAAATGCAGTTGCACTCTGTAAGTACAGTTTCTCCAGAGCTTAGTAAATGAGGGGAGCTCTGCTGACTTCCATCTTCCAATCATGCGCAAACAAAAAGGCTTTTTTTTGTTTTTTGGGTTTTTTTGCAAGCACATGATTTCGTATTCTTTGCAAAGTGAATCTTCATTTTATTTACTAAGCTCTGAAGTAACTGCATTTGCAGAGTGCAACTGCACTTGCAAAGTGCACAGCCTATTTGCCTTCAGTAAATCCACCCTAGGAATCTGCAACAAAGAGCAGTTTCAAGACCTGAGCCACCAAAAAGATAAGTATACAGTACGTCATCTTCTTTGCAGAATAACTTTAGCTTCTGAAGACTTACTGAATGGGTTACTTGATGGTAACAATAATGGTAAAAAATAATCCGGGAATATACCAACACCTCTGCGTGTGTCTAAAAAAAAAAAAAAAAAAAATGTGATTTCAGAATGTTCATTTGATTTTCTAATGGTTAATAGGGTCAAATCGAAGATCATTTTTGATCATAGTGAGGAAAAAATCAAAGGAGCAATATGGAAACTTTCTGGGGGGAAAAAAAAAATCTGTGAATGTGTTTTTTGTTCAAGAAATTTTCTTCATTTAAAAATCAAATGTTAAAAGAAACACATTTTTTAAGTTCTTTTCGAACGACAGTCACAAATGTTCTGATGGCATTATCTAATGTACTGATGAGGTTTTTAATACGAGCATTTGTACAAAAATCCAGCAGTGTATAGCCAGCTGAAGACTCCAGGATATGTTGTATGCGTGATTCTCCATTATATTTTTGTACATAAATAATAAACCAAGGGTGGGCAAACAAACGCAGAAGTCAGTTGCCATATCTTTATGCCAGCATGCACTTGTAAAGGGGATTTTCACTGAAAGTGGTAATCCTCCATCTGCTACTCCTAGAGAAAAATTTTCCTGACTTTTCCAAATCTGTAAAATATCAGTCCAGATTTTGCTTACAGTACCACCTTCTGTTATAATCTGTTAGGAAGATATAATAATAATATTCGACTATATCGGTCAGAGAAGGTTTGTTGTCTAAGCAATGCAAACAATGGTGTCATAAGAGGGTTGTGGAGGGATCTCACTGTGTTTTTATACAGAGAAGGGACTCCTGTTGTATTGATTCACAGATGAGTCTAAAGCAGCAAAGGGAGCAGTTTGATGATGCTAGAATTGTAACTTGGAATATTGACTACTTGTCTATTTTTTTGTATTACTTATGGTGCCTTCTCATAAATACAGATATATAAAATGAGAACTGTAATGTATAACATGAGAAAAGTAATTGGTATTTTTTCTGCTCATGTCTGTTGGACTTGTTAAAAGGAAAACCCTTTATATTGTGTGAAATGACAGTCAAAGTGGTGATTGTTAATATTGTAGTAAAGCTTTTTTTTTTTTTTTCCCTGTAGGTAAGAGGGGTGCTTTGACAAAAGTGCAACCATGAATATGGTGAAGAGGATCATGGGCCGACCTCGGCAAGAGGAGTGCAGCCCACAGGACAATGCACTAGGTTTAATGCATCTGAGGCGACTCTTTCACTGAGCTTTGTCATCCTGCCCGACACATGACTCAAAAGGAACAGGAAGAGAAACTTTACATGATGCTGCCTGTCTTTAACAGGGTAAGTGCAGGATATTGTGATGGTGCTTTGTCACACTATCTTTAACCAATTGCCCTCCAGAGGGCAATTGCTGTGTAGAGAAATACAAAGCAGCATATCCTTGCTGGCAGGAGAGAGACCTGTGTTGTTTACACACAGGTCTCTCCACCGTCCGCTTTCCCGACCGATCACTGGGTGCTGGTTGGGAATCTCCGGCTGGGGCCAATGGCGGCACGGGTAGAGCAGCACGCACGCCCCTACCCGGATATGTAAATCATGTGTGTATATATGTGATTTTGCGCAGCCCTGCCACCCTGTAGCAGTAGTTCTACAATCTCTTTATTTTCAAGCGTACACCGTACAGATTTTAGTTGACTATTTATACAGCAAATGGTTAACCACAAACGACCAAAGTAGCACGACCTCTTTAAATGGTGTAAAATAATTTTTTTTTGCGTGACTTTGTCTTATTATGGACAGTTTGTTGTATTTGATGATACTTGTAGTTTATCTTATCGGTTGGAAATTTTCAGGTGATGTGTTCTCTGGTGATTGAGTAGAAATAAGCTAACCCTGCAATGGAAGGAAGGATTTTCTAAGAATCTGATCATTTATAGTCCAGCCAGGCATACATTAGCTGATAAAAGAGCAAACTAATCCATGTTATGACCAGTGAGTTTTATTAAAGTATATTTAAAGACCAAACTTTCTTCACTTTTAAATAGAGACGGGAGGGTTAGAACTCAGCAGGCTTTTATTGTGGTCTGCGTCTCTGCTACTGAGGTTTACTGACTGCTGTCACTAGGACCCGGACGTGATGGAAGAGCCACGATTCTGAGCTGTTTTCAGAATAGGAATACAGGAAAAATCTTCCAGTAGGGACACTTGTTCTTGGGATTTCCCTCACTTTGAAAAGATTTCTCAGTTTCACAAAGGATCCCCCCCCCCCCCCTTCCCCAGTTGGGTGCAGATGGCAGAAAAAAAAACTTGGGTTTTAGCTATTTCCTACATTTTCAAAATCATTTCAGACAACCCCACAATGATTTGTTCCAATATCTACCTATTTGTAATTGACTTGGTATGATTCCTTAGATTAGACTTATTGGTTTGGACTTTTTTTAAGAGTAGATTTTTTTTTTTTTTTAATTGTGCAATGAAGCTATTTGATAATGTCTTCTCACATCTTAAAAAAAGGCATGTTAAGACTGGATAATCAAATTTTAAAAACAGCAAGGTTTTCCTTTGGAGTATTTTTTTTTTTTTTCTGTACGTCAAACTTGAATTTGTGTTCTGTTTTTTACCATCCTATTCTTGTATAATTTGTGCTTTTTTTTTTTTTTTTCCCCCCTGACAATGTTTTGTTGTTGCATTTGATTTACAATTTTCTTTTGTCATTAGGTGTTTGGAAATGCACCACCTAGCACAATGACAGAAAAGTTCTCAGACCTTCTACAGTTTACAACACAAGTGTCACGCTTGATGGTGACTGAGATTCGAAGGAGAGCTTCTAATAAGTCCACAGGTGCGTCACATTTTATTGTAGGTCTTGTGGTGTACTTTTTGTGTTGACTTGCAGATTCACTTCTACTTTAGTTGGCATACCATGCATGCCTCTTAAAACTACCTGTCATCCATGCCTCAGATCTATTCATGCACGCATCCCTGCTGTCAGAATGCAATTGCTTGGCGGGGAGGAGGGGAATTAGTCTTTTTTTCTTTTTTTTTTTTTTTTTTTTTTTTTTTTTTATCAACCTGCTAGTTGAGCAAAAAATATCACTCTTCTTTGGGCTGCTTAAATCTCACACTGCATACATGAAGGTATGAGGGTGCCTACGTTCCAACACATACAGTACCAGGAAGTAGTGGTGCACCAAAATTGAAGTTCTGGTACCGAGACCAAAAAAGGGACAGTTTTTAAAAAAAATTAATATATATTTTTGGAAAAAAATACACTTTAATGATTAAATATATACCCCAATTGTTTTGCAAAATATCAAAGAGGATGTTATGGCAAGTAAATTGATACCCAACATGTCATGCTTTAAAAACTGCGCACGCTCGTGGAATGGTGCCAAACTATGGTACTTACAAATCTCCAGGGGTTGATGCTTTAAAAATTTCTACAGCTTAGCAGTGCAAAGTTACAGAGGCATTCTAGTGCTAGAATTATTGTTCTTGCTCTGACGTTCGTGGCGATCCCTCACATGTGTGTTTTAAACACCGTTTTACGTATGTGGGCGTGGCCTATGTATGTATTCACCACTACATGCAAGCACCGGGGGTACAAGGGCACTTTAAACTTTTTTTTTTTTTATTTATTTATTTCATTTTTTTTTTTTTTGTTACACTGTCCCTTTAAAAAAAAAAAAAAAAAAAAAAAAAGGAATGCATGCATCCCTTGTGATAGAAATAATTAGTGACCGGTCCTCTTTATGGAGACAGATATGGGGTCAATAAGACCCCACATCTCTCCTCTACAATGTAAAGCATTGATCTAGTGCTTTAAAAAAAGGGCCTTGTTTACAAGGCGATGAAACCGGAAGTGACATCGCTCTGGTTCTCCAAGGGCATAGAGTTGAGTGGAGACCATCTCTCGTTCACTAATCTCTATGCCCAGCGCCGGGATAGTTTGATGGTTTCTCAGGTAAGGCTACTGAACGGCGGGGGGGGGGTGATGGCAACGAGGGGTGGCGGGAAGCGGCGAGGTGGCAAGGTTATTTTCGGCACCTGCATCTGTGCTATTTTTAATATCGGCCAGCGGTCGATAGGGGGTGTTTTCGGCCGAATCGTTTCGAAATTTCGGTGCATCCCTATCAGGAAGCACACTGCTGTTTCACGGGGCATTCCAGACAAAAGATCTGACAGACTCTAACCCTTGCCCACTCTACTAAAAATGTTTTTGCGTTCTCTGTCCCCATTATGAGAACATTTTATCTTGGAGGTGAGGGAACATATCCCGGTAGGCACAAATTCAAAGCCTTCTAGTTGACTACCAGTAAGGATATTGTGGGAACTCGCTTCAAATGGTAGAGCTTGGTTAAACGCACACAGCAACTCTCTTTCTTTTTTAAGGCCTTTTTAGCCCACTTTTATTTACATGAAAGTTCAAAACATCAGAAGTTTCCCACACAGGGGTATCTGTCATCCACATAAACAAAATTCAGCCTCCTGGCTCTCTCAGATATATACAATCTTCCACTGGCCTTCCTCTTCAGGCTTACGTCTGTCTCCTGCAGACTCTTTCAAAAATGGGTCTTGCACACAGCTAGCCACTAGCACACAGCTACTCCCAAGCAGCTCCTTGCCGCTTTTGGCTTCCACCTCTCCTTGGTGGAACCCTCCTGACTCCTGTATTCCAGGCTGAGCCCTCCTGAATCCTATCTGCGCGGGGTGGAGCCCAGAACCCTGGCCCTGACTCTATGAAAAGGCCTGCACACACCTGTGCAATCAGTCTCCTGGCCATTCCCAAAAACCTGGTCCCAGGATTGGAGATTTCATCCCTCCCAGATCTCTTTGAAATCTCCAGGCTCCAGATCCCAAAACAGACCTTACAAACAAAGGAGGAAAGTGAAAAGCCACTTTCCTCTGTATCAAACATTTACACTGGATCCCCTCAACCTGCCTTGTTGAGAATCCTGGGTGACAGATCGCCACACTGTCACAATATTGACAGTCACAGTACTAGGTGTGATTGAACAGTTTTCTTTATTACAACTGCATATATGGCTACTCTTAGAAGCTCTCCCTCTGTTCTATTTTCTTATATCTCCGGTAGGAGCATAGACAACAGTAAAAATCAGACAGAGGCCTAACCTTTCCCTACTCTAGCCAAACAAAATATATTGCATATTTTTATATGATTTGTATATTTGATCTTTGTTAAAAGTATCCTTCTGTAAATTGTATGGAAAGGAAATTGTCATGTTACCATTCTATGTCTCAAAGGATAGATTTCTAAAAGTCAGGAAAAGAGGTTCAAGTGTTGTCCATGATAAACATACACCGTTTTTTTTTGTGTAAAACAGTATACCTGCCATATGTGTAATTTTATATGCTGAAATAATAATCGTATTATAAACTAAATGACTGCTATAACATAAACCTATTAACTGTCAAAATTGGAACTCTTACATAAACAAAGTGATTTCTTTGAACTTTTCATCTGTTACTGCAGAGGCTGCTAGCCGAGCCATTGTCCAGTTCCTAGAGATCAACCAGAGTGAGGAGACCAGCAGAGGCTGGATGCTTCTGACTGTCATTAACCTGTTGGCTTCATCTGGGCAGGTGCGTTCCTATTCATTGTTTTCATCATCAAATTTTTGATAAACATCTGATAGTTCATTATCACAGCTGAAAACAAATATTTTCTGCATTCCTAACTTGGATTAAGGCCCTGATAAATTTCAGATTTGTTATACATAGTTATTTCACATGAACACTTAGGTAATACATAATCTATGTCCACTTCTAGCTTAGTTTTTAGTGTAGCTTGTGTAAATAAGAGTACTACAGCCTAAGAACAATTAAATGCTGAATGACAGTCTAAAAAAGTACCACACGCATGCAAAAGCCTCAAAAAGTAAGCAATAATATTTTATCTTCCTTAACTGAGCAAATTTGGTTTAGGTGTTACTAGAGATGGGAAGGCCCAGAAGAAAAACAGAAAAATAGGAGGAAATTTTTTTTTTTCTTCTATTTTTTTTTTTTTTTTTTCAAAGCTTTTTCTGTTTTGTTTTCTGGAAAAATTGAAAAAAAAGTGTAGTACATGTTCTTTTACAATGCTAAATAATATATAGATGACATGGTGTGCAAACTATATTACATGAAGACCTTAATGAGGGATTTCTGAGACTTTATGTAAAGTCTTAAATTATTGCACGTTCTCTCAGCTGAAGACAAGCAAATCCAGAAATACAGTTCAAATCACTATACTTCTCAATGTATTTCTCAGACAAAAGAAATATGCATTTATGCCACTAGGGGGGGCAGTACAGAGGGATAGGCCCCAGTTTAGTTTGCTTGTGGGCTCCATCTTGTTCCTCCTACAGTTGGGATACAGCCGATGATAGTTTCTGTCCTCTCGGGCCTTCATTGACAAGAGGGTATTTTCAGAATTTCCATTTTTTTTTCTGGAAAAAACAGGGAAAAAAATGTCCCCATGGCTTAGAAATTTGTGGAAATTTGACATCTCTAAGTGTGACCAGGTGATGATTGACAAGCTACAAGATTGTGAATTAGCAGTGACCATGCTGACAGTCATGACCCACTTTTTTTTTACACTCTAGTGCAAGCAAGCACAGCCTACATGAGTGGCAACTCTGCTGTGTATTCAGGAGCAGTGCAGCATTGTTGCCACCCTGTCACAAGATGCTGCATTAGGTGAATTTTACTGCAAGGTATTTGTGGGACTTTGCAGGGGAGCTAAGAGAATACTGTAAGTATGTGCTTTTTTAAAGGGCTAATACATGGGCCAGGCAAAGTTTCAAAGATATACTACATTTTTTTTCCCTGACATACACTTTACCCATGCAGAGTAAAGCACATGTTTGTTTTAGATCCCTTCTTCAGCAGCACATGCTTACTTTTTCTTTGTAACTCTGTTGCTCCGCTCAAAAACATACAGTACAGCTTCTCCTACTACAGATATATAAATGGATTGCTAGGGTCGTGAAACAAATGTGTGCGTATGTGCTGCTGGATTTTGATGGACTGGTAAAATAAGTACCTTTGCAGTGTTTCTAGTATGCAACATACTGTTTTTTTAAGCAGCTTACATAGACTCGACAGTAAATGGATACTAAATTGCTAGACTATCTACTCTAAAGGAAATCAATGTATAATTATCTTTCCAATCACATCTGCTGTTAAAAGAAATTGTTTGAATAACTGTTTATTTTTCTGTATTTCTTTAAACTAGAAAACCGTGGACTGCATGACAACAATGTCGGTGCCTTCCACCCTGATTAAATGCCTGTACCTGTTTTTTGACCTCCCACATGTGCCTGAGGTACCTGGAGGAGCAGAGAATGAGCTGCCTTTGACCGAGCGCAGAGCTTTGCTCCAGAAAGTCTTTGTGCAGGTAATAGCATTCTATTTACAGTGAGTAGGTTTTGTGTGAAATACTGTCCAAGTGTGTGTCCAAACAGCAGATGAATCTCTTGTCCTCTTTTCACATTGTAAAGGACAATGATACCCTCTGCCTCGACCCCAAAATGTCTCCTTTCCCCACACCTCCAGGATCTTCACGAACTGCATAACTGCCACTGCTGCTCTCTCAGCTGGCTACTTCGTGCTCTGTAGAATCTGTTTATTACGGCAGAGAAGTGATCCACCGTTTGGACGCATAATAAAAGCCTTCTCGTTAGGAATGAATGGAGAGTATTCTGAGTGTGACTGGAAGGATGAATCATGGCTGGGGGACATTCGCTGAAGAGGTTGTGTGGCTCCCAGCAGAGAAGGTGCAAGGACAGATTAGTTGAAGGGCTCGTTCACACATGCTGTTTCATTGCGACTCTGTGGCTGGTGTGTGGTGAGGCCAAGATAAGCGCACTGGGATATACTGAGCTTGGCACATTGCACTGTTTTCTTTTTTTAAAGAAGCTTTATTGAGGTGTCACACAGACATCTCATAAAGTTCAATTACTGGAATCATGGTGTGAGGCACTGGATTGCTTTGCACTGAAAAAAAAGTATTGCACGTTGTACTTTTTAAAAAACTATGTTTTAGTGCACTGTACCCGCACACCACCACCCACAATGCAGTGGTGTGAACGGGCACAGAGGAGACGAGATATTTTGCCTTGTCCGGTGGGGCTGCGCTGGAATAGCCACCTAACGATGTCCCACCACATGTGTTAACATAGCTTAAGTCTTTAATATAAGTAATATCAGATCTCACAGGAAACTCGTCAGTCGTTCCATATTATGGTGTCGACTTCCTCGAAATCTACTGATACACTCCGCATCTTCCTGAAATTTGTGTCACCATGCATTATGATAGGAGTCTAAACAAAAACACTATAGTACTTTCCCTATAATAAACATACACCTACCAAATATCACATGATCAAGTTGAGGGAGATTTCTATATTGTGGAACTGGTAAAAATCCTATTATGTATGGTCATAGCCTGTTGGAAATGGCTGTATTCGGCTATTGGCACTAGTAGTTTACACTCTTTTTATATCATCTAATGTTCGTGCTTTTTCTCTCTTGCTTATGGCCTCTTTTTGGAGCCATCATGGAGAGTTGATTTATTCCATCCATTTCTTTGAGACTTCTAGACATGTCTGAAAACTCCAGGAAGCATATCAATAAATAACTTAAAGAGTAGTCTCTAAAGCACTCATCCAGTTAACTCTATTGCGCTATATCCATAAATATGACTTAGATGTCTTTCTATATTTGTGGGTGGCTTTCAGAATTTGCTTTGGAAAAATTATAGCTTTTCATTTTTTAAATTAGATAGTTCATAAAATATAAGAAAAGAAGGTGTTTTAGATGTGGATCTTTGATTGTAGAAAGAAAATTTAATACGGTATTGTATGTTGTGCTGGGACTTGTAGTTTCACAGAGACAGGATAAAAGAAGGTATAATGTGCTGTTATTGGTGTACTCTACAGGGTTGGGAGAAGGGCAGATGTAACATGCTGGGATTCTTAGTTTTACTGAGCCAGCAAGTGTATCAGTGAAGGCCAGTTTTGACTCAAGGAGAGGGTACTTGTCCGTAGGGCATAACATAAAGATATGTAATCTTTTCTGCAACAACAGATCCTTTTATCTGTTTGGCCAATTGTAGAGTGGTGAATGTAGTTATATTTACAGTTCTACTCCCACACATCTCAGGTGCGGGGTTCTACTTACCGTATATTATGGGTGCTCTATTTGGATAGTAGGCTGGATATATAGCTTTCTAGATAGTTCCTATCCTCCTAGAAGGTTTCAAAAATCGCAAAGATAGCCGCAGCAGCTATTGCTAGAAAGACATGGAGGGATTCCCATGGAACATGTCACTGTTTCTAAAAGTATGATCATAAATACCATTTTACACATCTCACAGCAGATCAGTGCCAAACAATACTTCCCAGAGCCCGTTGAAAGCGCTTTCTGATCACTTAAATCATATTTAATGTTTTATTATATTGGCTATGGTGCCCCTTATCTCCTCACATAGTATTTAAGGGTCAGAAATTCCCTCAACACCCCTGGTACCCAACACATTGCGCGATAGGCACCTGTGTGTGGCCTGATCAGTGTCACACACCAAGTAAAAGCCTCAATTGGGCCCAGTGCTGGTGGCATCACAGTGATGGTGCCGTTTAAATGTAAACACTAGCAGCTATCAGTGAGCCGACTTTCTGATGTTCCCTTCACACTGGCCTTCTAAATGCTGGGCCACATCTCAGCCACTGGGTACAAATATATGCGGCAGCAGAGGCTCCCATTCAAAGCTCCTTGCTTTCCCAGCTGTAGGCAGTGTTGACCTGCTGCTGATAGAACCAGGGCTACTAAATTGTTAGTATATTTGGTACTAGGACCTGATTTCCATGATACCCTGAAAAGCGTCTTCATTTAATGTTCAACTAAAGGGGACTAGTGAGGATGACATTTATTCATTGCTGGAGGGTGTCTCTGTAGATGATGATAAATGGTTGTAAGAGCAAAATTTCTTTGTGCATTAAAACTCCTTCAGGGCTCGTTCACACCAGCCGCATTGGGCAGCGTTGCCCAACACAGTCCCAACACAAGAACAAGTCAATTTGCCTTAATATCCTATGGTTTTAAATTATACCTTTGCAGTGTGTTGGTGTGCACTGAAAAAAAGGTGGCATGATACTGAAATTGCAACACGTGCACACCTCACATTTACTCAACCTTATTGGCTGAGGCCTATTGTGTGCCCTTTTGGATATGTTGGGGGCCCTCTTGAGGCTCTCAAAATCTAGGTTGACCACCACTGCACTACACTGATCACAAGGCTCTTGTTTTTTTTTAAATAAGGTTACTTTCTGTAAGGTAGATAAAGGTATTCTTTTGAGTAGGTGGTATAAAATTACAAAGTTCTAATGTTTTTTTCTAATCTACAGGACTTCTATACAGTTAAATTAAAATTCAAAACTGCCTTGCATTCTAGACATCTGTCTGCAGTGAACCTTGCTATTGCTGTATGCAGTTGCATGCATTTGCTTTAGGGGTAATTTGAAAAGGCTTTCCATGAAAAACTGCATTTCCGTAGAAAACAGCCACAACCTCAGTAGAAAAGTCTGCCCTCTGCCAGCATGCCGTAGTAAAGGACCCTTCTGCCTTGTGTGGAAGCAGTGGTGTCTCTGGAGACCCCTACTTAGTCAGGGCTAGAGCTCTCCAATCAGCAGAGAGCATGAGCATTGCAGATTTCAAAGCTGTAGATCGAAGTCTGTACTTATAGCAATCCTGCTTCTGGTGACCTTGGTCTAAGGCATACTCTAATCCTGTGTACCTCTAGACTGTTTGTAGGTTATTTTTTATATTGAAGGCGCAACTGTCATTTAGCATTTTAGAATATCATTGTGGCACCAAACTTTTCCACAGCTTTTTAAAGCATCCATAAGCGTAAAGTGATTGTAAATGCTCATTTTTTTAAATTAATAACAAAACATGTCATATTAACCTGCCTTGTGTAATGGTTTTGCACAGAGCAGCCCAGATCCTCCTCTTCTGTCGTCCCCTGCCAGCGCTCCTGTCCAGTGACACAGAGTGTAGCTTGGCCCCACCCTCCTCCTCACTCTGTGATTGAAGGCAACAGGCGCCAGTGGCTCCCACTGCTGTCTCTGAGCCATTGAGGAGGGAGAGAGCCACTGCTCTTGTGTACATCGCTGGCTTGAGATCAGGCTAGGTAAGTATGGGGTGGGGTGGTTGTAGCCACATGCAAAAGCTTTATTTATTTTTTTTACTGATCATTATTTATGTAATGTCTTTTTTTGTTTTTTTTTTTTTCGTGAAGAAAGTAATTATGAGATGTTTGAGGGGCAGTTAGAAGGAAAGAAAAACCATCATAATAATACAGTACCTATTGACTCCAATACCTTTTGAGAAAATTGCTTAATTTTGCATGAATCACCCTATTTTCACCACAATTTCATAGCAATGAAAACTCTTAATTTTGCTTATCACTACTTTTTTTTTTTTTTTTTTTTCTTTCCCTTTTACCAGTATGATTGTGTGAAAATTAGGTTTGCTCCCCTTCTTTCCTGCCCTCTTATCTTGTCTCCAGAACACATAAGTTTATTGTGACCTAAATCAACATTCTGTAGTCCTTCTGGCACAAACAAACCATTAAACTGTATCTTCTGCCTGAAACCTAATTAGGAGATATTTTTTTTTTGTGCATTAGAAAATGCTCATGAAATATTGTTCCGTCTACGATTCCAAATTCTTTTGTGTATAGTGCTTCATCAATTGTACAAAGAAGATAAATTGGCTACAAAGATGCAATTCATCTCTATCTATACTGAATGTATACTCAGGTTTTTCATATATGGCTTATTTGCCTGAATCTTCTTTTTGAAAACCCATAATAAAAAAAGCTCTGAAATGGTAAAAAAGATCAGAATGGGCAACTATACAGAGATGCACAATAACCCTGTAGTACCTGAAAAAATACATTTTGATTTATTTACATCATTTATGGTATATAGGGGCGGCACAGTGGCTTAGTGGTTAGCATGTCTGCCTTGCAGTAAATGGGTCATGGGTTCGATTCCCGACCATGGCGCCTCCTGCATGGAGTTTGCATGTGCTTGCGTGGGTTTCCTCCGGGTGCTCCAGTTTCTTCCCACACTCCAAAGACCCTGTCTAAATTGGCCCTAATATATGATGGACCTTAGATTGTACACCCCTTGAAGGTTAGGGACTGATGTGAATGTTCAATATATATATATATAAATATTTATTAGTTTTTTCACAGTAATAACAATAGAAAAAAAGATAAAAACATTTTCATCTCAATCATCATAAATAATACAATTATTTCTTATTACTTCATTTACCCCCCTCTTGAAACATTAACCCCCCCCCCCCTCCCCACTCTGCATTTTCCTTATC